GAGGTCATGGAGGTGAGCTTAGTGCCTGTCTTTCTTTAATTTGCAGGCACTGGTAAGGAGAAATTTTAAGCACTGATTAAAATAATTTCACCTTAACTAGAAGTAACTTTGATATTGTTGCTTATAAAGTTTTGCTTTTATTTTTAAAATTCATTAGCAGTTGACCTTTTAAATTAGTTTAGGAAAGATCTTTCACTTTAATACTTGTATATATAGAGAGGATGTCCCTGTTCCCCTCCATCCAAAACTTTGTTTTAAAAATAATTTCAAATTCTTGTTTAAATGGGATATAAAACTTATACATACATAGAACTTTTTTTAATATGGATTTATAGTCTACTGATATCATTTCTCTGTGCATCTCACAATACAGCAAGCATTATTTCCTAATACCTCTTTTCTCTTTGCTATCCACTGAATGCCTTCTCTGTGAAAGCATATCTTTTTCATAGAAATAACACTTAGTTTTTCATTATCTTTAGTAGATTCTTTGGCTTGTCATTATTTGAACTGGATTTTCACCAGCCATGGCAGACCTTCAGACAAATTTGGCACTATATCCATGGAAGTTAAAGAAAATTTTAAATTTATTTAGGTAGCCATTTAATTAATTGAACCAAAATTATCCTGTCAGAGAATTCAGTATAGCCTAATGTGTTATTAGGTAGACTATAATTTAAATCTGATATGTAACGGTACATCAACCAGAACCTTGACCTATGAGTTTTATGTATTACTTTTGGAAATAAAGATACAAGGAAATGAAAACTGGTTAACGTCTTTATAAACCCTATTGCATGGTTATTTATACCTGTATTAGACTTAAGTTCTACTTTCTAGTATAAAACAAAGCTCAAGGAGTTGACAGTGTACCAAATGACATATTTCAAAACACAGACACTGGCCTTGAGGTGCTCACTAAGTTGAGTTGAGATATCTGGAAGACAGTCAGCTGGCCAACTGACTGGAAGAGATCAATGTTTGTTCGCATTCCTAAGAAGGGTGAGCCAAAGAGTGCGGAAATTATCAAACAATATCATTAATATCACTTGCAAGCAACATTCTGCTGAAAATTATCCAAAAACAACTGGAGCAACATGTCAACAGAAAAGTGCCAGGTGTGCAGGCTGGGTTTAGAAGAAGAGGCTGTGGTACTAGGGATATTATAGCTAATGTTAGATGGATCTTGGCAGAAAGCAGAGAGTACCAGAGGAATGTCTATCTGTGTTATATTGACTATGTAAAAGTTTTTGACTGTGTGGATCACAACAAACTGTGTTAGACTCTGATAAGAATAGGAATCCCAGAACATTTGACTGTCCTTATGTGAAACCTATGCTTGGACCAGGGGGCAGTCATCAGAACAGAGCAAGGAGATACTGCATGGTTCAAAATCAGGAAGGGTGTCCACCAGGGATGTGTTTTGTCTCCATCCCTTTTCAATCTATATGTAGAACAGATCATCGGGATGCTAGTCTGTGTGAGGAGGAATGTGGTGTCAGGATGGTAGGAAGATTCATCAACAACCTGTGTTATGCAGATGACACCACCCTGCTTGCTGAAACTGAGGAGGACCTGAAGCGCTTGCAGCAAAAGATCAAGGACTGCAGCCTTCAATATGGATTGAAGCTCAACATCAAGAAAACAAAGATTCTCACCACTGGGTCATTGGCAGCATCATTATGGATGGTGAAGAGATTGAGATTGTTAACAGTTTTAGTTTGCTTGGTTCCACTATCAACACTGTTGACGTACCAGCAGCCAGGAATTCAAGAGACGAATTGCATTGGGAAATTCAGCTGCCAGGGACCTCTCCAGAGTGCTGAGGAACTATCATCAGAGAACTGGATAGTGACTAGGGATGATAGGAAGAATATTGATGCCCTTGAGCTGTGGTGCTGGACTGCTAGGGGAACAGTTTCATCCTAGAGAGGGTGAAACTGGGTTACTCCTTGGAGGCTAGTATTCTGAAGCTTTGTCTGACATACTTGGGCATGTTGCAGGGACAGGCCAGTCCTTTGAGAGGGACATCATTTTGGGGAGGGTAGAGGGTCAGCGCAAGAGAGGAAGACCTTAATGAGATGAATCGATTCAGTGATTGGGGTAATGGGAGTAGATGTGTTGGAGACAGTGAGGTTGGCGCAGGATACAGTAGGGTTTAGGGCTCTTGACATAGGGTGGCTATGAGTCACAAGTGACTCGACAACACAATAACAGCAACATCAATATAAATAGTATCTTCAAGAAAAAAGTGACTTCACTAATTTTATTCTGTAAATATGCACTATATTATGTTTGGTAATTGTAATATTAGAGAAAACTTTTGGAATTCTTGTTACCCTCACAACTGAACCTGTCCACTAGCTAATGCAGTATTAAGGGAGCACTAGTGGCATAGTCCTATGGAAATTGCACTACTGACTTAAAGGCAGGACAGATTCCCATTTGATTTATAGCCTCAAAAACCTGACAAAAAATCAGCTGTGAGTGGACTCCGAATCTATGGCCATGTGAGATGAGTTATTTAGTGTTTTTGTTGATTGCTGTCAAGTCAAACACAACTCATAACAACTCTATAACTATTATTTATCAAAGTTCATAGAGTTTCCAGGGGCCTGTTGTTTAAAAAGTTTTTTCTCTTAGTATTTCAAGTGGGTTTTGGGAAAACTGTTTTCATTTTCTTTTCTAGGCTTTGTTGACTATTATTTAACTAAGGAATTATGTTTATCATCTCTGTAAAAAATATTTTATAATCTATAAATGAAATATTTTCTGAGTATTCTGCTAAATAATCACTCTTGCACTTTTAAGTTCTGTCCTCATAATACTCCAACTTTGGAACCAGATCCCTGTAGTTTTTTAAGGTCATTGAGTCAGAGACAATCTTAATTCATACTACAGATATCGGCTATTTTCATGTGAAGCTTTCATTGTCATGTAGTGAGATTACATTTCTATCTTCTTGTACTTATAGCTGTGGAAAGATCAACTTCAACCAACAATACTACTCACCCAACACCGCTAATATTTCCACAATCACACAGACTGGGGAAAGAAATTTCACATAGGAATAAGAAAAGGATTAAAATGGATTGGAATATGAAATCCTGTAGCTAGTACAGTATTCTACAGGACATGTGGTTTACCTCGCTGTAATAAATGTTGTTACAGAACAACTGCTTTGTATTCTTTATTTGCCTGTATTCCATTCTCTACATATGGTATATATGCTTTAACTTTTAAGTTCCAGAATAGTGTGCTTTCCGTGTGTGTGTGTGTGTATGTGTGTGTTTAAACAGGAGGTCAGAAAGAACATACATTAAAGAAGGACTACTATCTACTGATAAATAATAGTAGAGATACATGTAGGTAGAGTTAAGGCTCTAGAATACATGCATTACTAAGGTGGTAACCCTTTGTACTACAGTGATATTTTATTTTCTTAAATTAAATTTTATTAAATATGTATATATCTTTAAAGTGTTAAGTTTTTCCAATTGTAATAATTTACTTACAAGTACTCTCTGAGTATGAGTTGTGTTCTTTTCACTTTTTATAGATGATCAACTAGAAGTAAACATAGTGATTTACATAGACAAACAAGATAGCAATTTAAGTGTGATGATGCTGGTGATAGAAAGAAGGTGAAATCTATTAGGTCATTATAAAATGATTTACAATTTATTAATAGACCCATTTGAAAAATAATCAGACACATTGTCACTGACAACTGCTATAATACAAAGGAAATAAAACAGGAGTAGTAAGTAGCAAAAAAGGAAAAGCTAAACTTCAGACACTGTAGTACTTTTATCTTGCAACATACTGCCAAGAATATTTATATTTATTTTAACATTTCCAGTACATATTTTAGGTACTGGCAACAAAAGATGTTATTTCTTTCTTTCTTTTGTTGTTTTCCACTAAGTAGTATAATTGAGGTTCACTACTATGGAAGACATATAGAAATAATATACTTGATAGTCGAGGCTTTTGTTCTTTGTGTCTGTTGCTAATTAACCATTAAAAAATAATTATTGGAATATTAGCTATTTTATATTTTCACATTTACTTTCCCTTTGTTCTATTATTTACTTCCTTGTTTTCAACTTTGTTCTTTTTCAATGTACTGTTCATCACTTTCTCCCAAAATATTTGTATTTTTAACATAGATTTAAATTAGAAATTTTAAGAAAAAATTTAGTCAATTGTGATGTGTAATTTTTTAAAATTTATTATTAAATGTGTAATATTTTGAAATACAAATCTTAAAGCAAGCATGAACTTGGATCAGCTTTTCTTAATATTAGACCTTCCACAACCTCCTTATTTTTACTACCAGATTCTCGATCTGATCTAAATCTTTGAGAAATTTCTAGATACTTAAGTTGAATTAATTTTAAAAAACGTTTTCCAGGGGAGCTCTGGTGGCCTAGTGGCAAGAAGCTGTACTACAATCCCAGAGTTACACAGTTCAAATCCACCAGATGCTCTGCCTGAGAAGGAGGGACAATTTCCTCCTGTACCAGTCAGATCTTATTTGACGGTACATGCGCAAAAATTAATAATAAAATTTTTTTTAAAAAGTTTTCCATATTGTTTTTTTACAATTTTATTGATTATTTTTTCTTTCTTGAAAATCCCTTTATAAGTTTAATACTACATGAAATCTTGTCCATTAGATTGCTTCCTTCTAGCTTGTGTCTCATCTTTTATTCCCTAAGTGTTCTAACACTTTCCTTCCTTGCTTTTCTTTATCTCACAATTTTTTGTGCTACTTTTACTTTTCCTCAAGTTAAAACATTTATTTTAGGCTCAAAAAACTAAAGTGCTGTAGAGTTTGCATATGTTTGGTTATTTGTCTTCCTTAACATCAAGAAGCTTGCATTTTAGGTTGTTGGATGAAATGGGTAATCTGGACAGATACTTTTGTAGCCATAATATTTGTTTATTATGGATAGCCTACTTTTGCTGAAGGCTTATTTTTTTCATTCCTATAGGAAAGAAAGGAGAAGCTATCTAAATTTGAGTCTTTCCGTCATTCAATTGCTGGAATAATTAGGTCACCAAAATCTACATTGGGCCCTTCATCAGTAAGTAGGATCAATTTTATGCTTTATTGAAAATGTTTATATTTTTTCTGGTATCATGATTGTTATATATATGTTTATCCTCATGAATAAACAAGTGCATGGTTTTACTAGGTGCATGGTTTTGTAAGTTTATGATCTGTGTAAAATGTATACAGTATAACCTCATTAACATTGATTAAGGGTATAAGTGTACTACTGTATAATAAAGACAGAAGTGTATACTGTATTGTATACTTCTTAGACTACATACAAATAATTACAGAAAGCATAGTATTTTGGGTCCTTATTCCTCTTAACAACAAAAAAATATGCAAAACACATTTGCTGCCTTTGAATATTGATAGTAACTCAAAGTGATCATACAAGGCAGAAGAGAGCAGCCCCCATATGATCTCTGAGGCAGTAAATCTCTGTTGGAGCAAACTGCTTCATCTTTCTCCCATGGAACACCTGATGGATTTGAACCACTAACATTACTATAGCAGGCCAGTTCTTAATTCATTGAACCACCAGGCTCTTTAGCACCTTAGTAGAAAACAAAACAAACAACAAATTCTTCCTAGCAAAACATTTTTGTAGTAGGAATTACTAGCTACATATTTTAAAAATTTTCAGTTTATATTTATGTATCCGTTTCAATAACTGTAGCACTGGCAAATGGTAATGAATGTGCCATGGATTGCCAAAAGAACAAACAAATCTGTATTGGAGTAAGTGCATCCAAAGAGCTTCTTAGAGGCAAGGACGGTGAAATTTTGTTTTGCATACATAGTGCATGCTATCAAGAGGGAACAGTTTTTGGAAAAACATCATACTGGGAAATGAAAGAGTAAGTAAGGCAGAGAAAGAACCTCAGCGAGATGTATTGCACAGTGACTGTTACAGTGGGTTTGAGCATGGAAGAGATCATCTACAGGATGGAGCAGAATAGGGCAAGGTTCTGATAATTCATAAAATTGCTATGCGTTATAGTTTACTCAATGACAGCTAACAGCAACAACATATATCTTCCTTTTTGAAACATTTTGATTATAAAGTGGAAATCTGTGTCATAGATTTAACCATTGGAATTTTGTTTCAAATACTGCCATGGTACATAGAATATTGATATTTCTTGGTTATGGCAACTCCTGGCAAAATAAGATATAAAATACTCTTATTTTATTTATATGGTGAAATTATAGAGTATTTTTCCCCTTTTCATTGTCTTTAACAGACTTCAAACTTTTTATTCTAATCATGACTCATGCAAAATACACCTATATAGTGATATCTTTTTGAATTATATTCAAAACAATAATTTGCATTATAAATCAATCATGGTTTTTTTCCCATTGTTCCACATTTCTAATATATGTAGTAGTTTTCAAAAGCATAACTAAGTAATGTGATCCACACTTTTAAAAATTATTTTCTAATCATGTATAATTTAAATATCTATTCACATTTTAAATATGTCTTCTATAGTTTCTTTTTAAAGGTAGTATTACCATATTCTAAGCGTCACTGTTTTTACTTCATTGACACAAAGCATAAGATGGCTTAATTTGCAACACCTACACACATATGCATGCATGCAGCCACCCTCATATATTGAGAGCCCAGGTGAGGCAGTAGAGTAAGCATTGAACTGCTAATTGAAAGGTTGGCAGTTTAAATCCACCTGCTACTTCTTGAAATAAAGGTGAGGTAATCATACTTGTTTATAGCTATGGACTTCCTAAGAGAGCTAATCTCCATTACGCTATCGAATTGCTAGAAGGTAGAATATCCTCTACATCAAAGTGCTCGTGTATACACACGTATACATATACAAATACATATACAAATACATATACATATACATATACATATACATATATATCACTTATATATCTATTCATATATGTTGTGTTGTTGTATACCATAGAGTCAGAACCAACTCATAGGTGACCCTCTGGCAGGTTTTCAGAGGCAAATAATTGGATGGGAGGAGATTACCCATCATTCTCCCACTGAGCCGCTGATGGCCCAGAACCTCCTACCTTCCAGATTGATTTTCAAATACAAATAATCACACAGAAGTGTATTGCTGATCTTTATCCTGCAGAGCAGCTGATCAATTTGAGCCACATGCCTTGGGGATTACAGCACAGCTTCGTACCACTAGGCCACAAGAGTTCACCCTTGCTGCATGTGTGTGTGTGTGTGTGTGTGTGTGTGTGTGTGTGTGTGTGTATAAAGTTGTATCATCTCCACAAGGGAGTTTGTTGATGAGTCTTTCTTCAATCCTGATGCCACATTCCTCCTCCTAAAGTCCAGCTGCTAAATGATCTACTCTGCATATAGTTGAAAAGGTAAAGGAGACAGGACATATCCCTGACACAGTCCCTTCTTAATTTTGAACCATGCAGTGTTTCTTTGCTCTGTACTGATTGATGAGTGCCTCCTACTCCAGATAGAGGTTTTACATGATCACCATCAAGTGTTCTGGGAGCCTGTTCTCAAGGTTAGCCATAATTTGTTGTGATCCACACAGTCAAATGCCTTTGCATAGTGACTCACACAGATAGACATTCCTTTGGTATTTGTTTTCATACAAGATCCATCTGATATTGGCGATAAAGTCTCTAGTGCCACGACCTTTTCTAAACCCACCTTATATTACTTCATTTTTAGATAATCTTCATCAGGATTTTGCTTGCATATGATGTTGTTGTTATGTGCCGTCAAGACGCTTGCATATATTACTGATAATTGTTCGGTGATTTCCACTCTGTTAGTTCACCATTTTTTGAGATTGGAATAAATATGCATCCCTTAGTTAGTTGTCCAGGTCGTTGTCCTTTGGATTTCTTTCCACAACCTGGTGAGCATGTACAGGGCAGCCTCTGTTTTTTTAATATGTCCATTGGTATGCTGTCAATTCCTGAGGCCTTAATTTTTGTTAATTTGTTCAGAACAGCTTGAATTTCCTCCTTCATCACCATTGACTCTTCATCATATGTTGTTTCATGAAATTCTTCTATGTCAGTCAGTCCTTTTTGGTACAGTTTCTCTGTATTCCTTCCATCTTCTTTTCATGCTTCCTGGATCATTCAATATTTATAGGAATTTTGGCTTTGGCCACATCTAGAGTCTGATTTGATGAATCAGAATGAATGAGAATATGGGAGATATTTGCTCTTTAAACACAAATTTATCTATAGAATAAAAATTCAGTTTCTCAACTATGATAATGTAATGTTTTAAAGAGGTCATTTCTAGATGCATCTTAAAATACAATGTTGTGAGTGACAGGATGATAACCATATGCATTAAAGAAAAACATGTTGATACCATTATCATTCAAATATATGCACCAAAAACCAGGGTGAAATAAACCACCAAACAGGGTGAAAGAAAAAATTTCAACCAACTTCTGCAGTTTCAAGTTGGTCGAAACTAACATACATTAACAATATTGGATGACTGTAATCCAAATATTGGGAACAAGAAAGTATAATCATTAGTTGGAAAACATAGACTTGGTGACAGACATGAGCCTGAAGATAGAATGATAGAATTATGTACAATCAATTATTTATTTATTCTGGAAGTCTTTTATAAAAAACATACATGACAACTATACATATTGGTTTTAACTGATGGTATTCACAGAAATCAGTTTGGTTACGTTTCTGGAGAGAATCATTGGAGAAACTCAATAGTAGATGGTTGGTGGGGAGTGGGGACAAAACAACAACAAACAAGGCCAGGTGCTGATGTGATAGGGACCATCAGCTACTCATGTGAAGTTTGAACTGAAGCTAAACACACACACACACACACACACACACACACACACAAATATATATACACACACACATACATATATATTGTTGTTGTTGTTAATTACCATCAAATCATAGGTGACTCATAGCGACCCTATGAACGAAAGACCTGAACACTTGTGTAACTTTCATTGTTTCTTCAAGTTTATAGGGTTTCCAGAGGCAAGCTATTTTAGAAGTGGATGCCTCTCCTGCTTCCAAGCTTGTTTTAATTGGGAAGCTCCATCAAACACTGTCCACCATGGATAACCATTATCACATTTGATACATCAGTGTCCCAGTGTTCAGCATCACAGCAATCATGAGTTACCTTTGTACAGTAAATGGACAGACCAGTGCTATACCACTTAGGAGAATGCTTGACAAAACACACTTAAAACCAGGCCCTCTGGTCACAGGCCTTCGGGCCCAAATGTCTTTTTCAATAGGAGGCCAAATACAATCAACTCATACCCAATGGCGAGTAATCATTCCACCCTAATCCTCACCAGAAACAGAAAACAAACCTCTATAGTATCTGGCTGCTCCAGACTGCTTTCCAACCTGGGTTCCAGCCTAATACTGGTGACCAAATTCCATTTTAGATGTTTTTGTTGAATGCCATTTAGATGTGCACAGCTCATAGTGACCTTATGGACAGAAGGCCTGAAGCATTTCTATAACTATCATCGTTTCCAGAGTTTCCAGAGGCATGTGGTTTAGGAAGTGGATGCCACTTCTTCAAAATCTGTTTTAAACTGGGAGCTCCACCAAACACTGTCCACCTTGGATAGCCTTTATGGCATTTGTCCCTTAAGGGCACAAGGTTCAACATCACAGCAAACCCAGGTTACCTCAGTGCAGAAAAATTGACACAGGAGTTCTGCACAATTTAGAAAAATGTTCCTCCCAAAATAACTCTAGACCCTCAGGCCCAGCTGATATTTAAATACATGGGTCCTCCGTATATTTATGTATATTAGCAAAAGGCTTGAAACCATTCTATAGCTATCGTCATTTCTCTAAGTTTATATACATATATATCTTACTGTGTTAATGTAGTTAGATTCCATTTTATATATAATTGTTGTTTACCATTGAGCTATAACTCACTTATAGTTGACCCTTAAGTGGATTTTCAGAGGCTCCTTAATCACATTGGAGGAGATTGCTTATCTTTCTCCTATGGAGCTGTTGATGGATTTGAAC